TTGTGACTGTCCTGGGTTAACTGGGATACAAATGAAGAAATTAATAAATAAATGAATAATTAAGAATGCACACAAATAGTAATATAGGTATGAGGAGGAACATATTGGTTCATGTAAAAAAGGAAAGAAAATAATCAGATTAGAGTAAATGGAATAAGGGAAGGAGGATAGGAAAAGAAGAGAGTATGAGTAATAATAATAATATTCAGATTAGAGTAAATGGAATAAGGGGAGAGAGGAAAAGGGAAGAAGAGAGAGAGAGAGAGAGAGAGAGAGAGAGAGAGAGAGAGAGAGAGAGAGAGACTAAGAGATGGTTTCTGATCACAGTACCAATAATCATTAGTATAAAATATATCCTGAAACATAATAAACACCATTGTTCTAAAAGTTCAGCCCATCATTTTGACAGTAATATACAACATAAAGACCAGTAGTCAGAATCCTAGGACCCATAAGTTAAATCCAACCTGCCAGCACCTAAGTTCATTAAACCCCACTCTAGCCCCAAGTCTTGTCGAATATAAAAGTCTGCTGGGTATTCACCAACCTCATGCTCCTTTCTTTATATTAATAATAACTTTTGTTGGAGTATAGATCAATGAGTGCTATATTTTAGTTGAAACAACATATTCTGATTTTCCCATGAATAATTTACCTACATGAGTGGAAAAAAATGAGTGCACTCCCACTGTTTGTCTAGGTAATTCTTTACAGTATGGACACACACGCCCGAGACTTAAGACCCCAAGTCCTCCTCAAAATTTATTCATCAATCTACATTGCCATGACTGGGCATGCAGGAGGGTTGCCAACACTCCCAAGAAACACTGTCTTCACCTCAGTATGCACAGCAAGAGAGAGCTAAAACTCATGAGCACCAAGTGTTCTGAGAGCTGCTCATTCCGCAATCTTTCCTTTATCTGTGGTACTACTGTTTGTGTCTGCAAATTATTTCTTGTACTGAGGGCTACAATATTTTGTCCTCAAAAAGAATATCACATTCCATTTGCCCTAACTTTGTGCGCCCATTCGATAAAGATTAACCTTATAATTACCATTCATATATCTTACAGATACTAAATTTTTGTAGGTGGATCATGATCTTTATGGGGTTAAAGTATATACCAGCTACAGAAATATGGCAATCGGTATGGGTTCCTTCTATAAATTTTTTTTGGTTCATATGGCAATCTTTGTGGTAGTTCAGTCTAGCATTTAGGATGGGGTTTCATCCCTTTGTTTGCCTGAGACCTTTTGTATTCTTGAAAGACTATAGAACATGCTTATCATGTTATTCCTAACAAAACCAATTTTGTTTATGTTATTCTGTTTTCTACTATTTGCTGAGAAAGGATGGAGCATTTATTGATACAATAGTGAAATACTGCAATACTATTGCCAACTTACATATAACCTGTTAATAAAGAATGGGTATGGTCTCTAGTACTATATTGTACTCTAACACATCAAATTTAATAGGGTTGTAACCCACCATGCAGAATGTC